TTCTCTGACTGATGGATGGTTGATGTGTTTGTCGATTTACAAGATGGGTTCAATGATACTGAATTGGACTCTCAATTCTTGCTTCTTCACAAGCTTTCACCGGGAGGATGACAGTGTCACAAGGAGGGGCTAGAAAGGTACTGGGATGGGGTGGGTGCCCACCTCTTAGCTGCCCAGGGGGGATGTCTCCTCCTCCTCCAGGTGAACGGAGCCCAGTGTCTGGACTCGGTCTTCAGGACACAGGTTCTGGAGGGGGATATAACATCCACTGCCCCACAGGGGCTCTGCTGTGCATTCCCCTCTGTGGCTTGGAATGCGTTTCCAAGCTGCCCTCAAATACAAACTTCATGCCATTGTGGGCCAACCTCTGGACCTTTCTCCTCTAGCCTGTCCCCTCTCTGAAATCAGAACCAGCTCCCTCCAGCTTTAAGGACTGCATCAAAATGAAAACTTCAGAATTCCCCAACGACACAGACACCTAAGATGATTTAGGTGTGTCTAGATGGGGGGGGGGATTCCATGACACATGGTTGGTAAACCACTGAATGGGTAGGCTGTTACACCGTCAGACAGGAGAGCATCCCGGGTGGTTGCGACCACAGGGCCCTCCCCAGGTTCTGGAGAGGAGTCTGGTGGCTGCCTAGGGCATGTGAGGATGCCGCCGTGGGGTGGGTGGAACGGGATGTGTGCAGCCCAGTTGAGGAGAGGAGCGGGTGCCAGTGGGGAATGGGAGCCCTACATGTAAGAGCGGGATGAAACTTCAGAACTCCTTTGGTCAAAGCCCCTCACTTTACAGATGGGAAACGGAGGTGCTGAGTGAGAACGTGGCTTGTCCTTGGTCGCATGGCAAGACGGAGACAAAGCCGGGGCTGGAGCCACGTCTCCAAGAGCCTCAGCCCTGTGCTTTTTTCCTGCTGTAGTACGCTGCCTTCTGAAATCAAATATAGAGCCTAGGAAGACATAGCTTTCATATAGAACCTGTCACTAAGATGCTGAACTTATATATATACATATATATATATATGTATATATATATGTACATATATATATGTATATGTATAAAAAATAGGAACCCTGAAAAACACTTCATTGAAACACAACGAGCTTCCTTGAAAATACTGCAGAGGCAAGTTTCCCAGGTTTGGGGAGGATGGTGGAGGAAGTCACGTGGGGGGAACAGAGCAGGTGCTTCCTAGGACCCAGATCATGGGCAACCCTTGCAGATTACCTTGGGTCAGGTCCACAGTTGCCTGTGAATGGAAACTTGAGGCCAGAAGGCTGGTGGCAGACAAGATATCTCTGAAGAAAATGGATTGTTTGGTGGCAGGGTTATTGGAACGGATATTTCCCCATGCTTGGAGAGTCATGAGGCTCTCCAGTCTTTAGGGGCAAAGAGGGATCTGTGACGCACACAAGCAGGACAGGCACAAGTGAGATGGAACAGTGGCCGAGAGCCCTCAAAAAGGATATGAATCTTTGGCCAGAGCAGGAGCCTCTGGGCTAGCAACAGGCTGGGGCAGAGGCTTCAGGGACATGTCAGCTGTAGGAACCAAAGCTGATCTTTGACCCATGAGGCCTCTGACAGAGCAGCTCCCATCCTTTATCTCGTAGGGGCAGGAGGTGAAGAATAAACCAATGAGGCCAACAGAGACCTGAAGAGTGTCTCATTCTGGGACTGTTTTCATTGAGAGCTCTACATTTCAGAGCCAGAAAGTACAGCAGGACCAGGGAAAAGAAAGTATGGATGGAGAGAGGTAAATGGAAGAAAAGGGCAAGGCGGGGGAGATGAGAGGGAGGAAGGACTGAATGGGCATAGAAGACTGAGGTCAGTTTCCAGGTAGGAGAGTGGAAAGAGGAGAGAAGACGTTTGAATGAAGAGAAGGGTTGGAACTTTCTAGAAGGCAGACCCATCACCCAAGACACTGGGGAGCCGTGAGTGCAGAAGCCCATTTAGGGGGTTCAAGGAATTTATGGGAAAGCCTTTGTGACTTATGAGCTCACGGAGCCAGAATTTCACTGGAGGAAGTGAGGCAGGAAAGGTGGAAGGACATGATAGATTGTGAGAGCTTCGCTGTCATCAAAGGCCAAGCAGATGAGCAAGAACCTTCAGGGCAGGAGAGAACCCATGCAGACCGCAGTGCATTACCAGCAGAGCAATGGAAACTCACACAGAGAGCCGGACAAGCAGAGGGAAACTTTGGGCTTTGGGCTTCCCTTGCTGGGGGAGGCGGGCTTCCATTGTCGGGGAAGGGCCAGCCCTTCCAAGTGTGGTAGTGGCCACCAGCCTGGTGAGGCTGGAAGTCAGGACATCTGGGTTGCAGCCCCAGAACCCTCTCTTATCTGCTACAAGAACTTGTCCGGTAACTCAGCTTTGCTTATTCTGCAGACATGGATGGCATGACCGATAAATGAGATACTGCTGTGTCCCAGTTAAGACATCACTGTGTGGATTTTGAAATGAGGGACTGAACTGGAGCAAGTCTGTAGACTTCTTTCTCTTATTTCCTTCCTTCCTTCCCTCCCTCACTCCTTCCAAACCCAAGGGTGAAACAGAAGAATCATTTAAAAGAAGTAATGGTTCAGGTAGAAGTTTTTGATCCGAGTGATACCAGAGGTTTTAAACTGGGCAGCAGGAATGCTGGGATGAGAAATGTTTCGGAATCAATCTATCAAACAACCCCTGAGACAGACACACAGGGCTGGGAGGAGCATCGTTCTGAGGGCTGGAGGACTTGGTGCTGAGATGATGCTTCAGACACAGAATGAGATCTGGTTTCTGGTTCAGATACATGTGTGTGCAGACACCTGGGGAGGGGATTCTCACCCACTCACGTCCTTTCCCCTCTGCACCAGCAGGCAGCCTTCAAGGGGACTGGCCGAGGGCTGGATTAGAGAGCAGTGGGCAGAGAGGACCAGCTGTGACAGGCACACATTCGTTTCCAGGAATCGTTGATTGCCTCCAGCCCAACCCTCTTAGCCTCACCTTCTGGACCAAAATCTCATAAACCCTTAGGGACCAGCCCTTGAGAAGGTTTATGTGTTTGTAAGGAAGGAAAGCAGAGTTACCTCTGGCCTCACAGCCTCACAGACCCAGTGGTACCACCCCATTGGGGACTTCAGGGCTGTGTCCCTCACCCCCAGCTCAATCCCCTCCAGATTCATGTGATGGTGAGCCTTGAGGGGAGGGGGGAGAACAAGAGCTTTGGAATTCTTGAATAAGTAAGAGGAATCAGTCAATTGATTTCTCTGTGGATTAGATTAAAAATTCCCAGGGCCGACACTGGGGAGTTCTCCCTGCCCTGCCCCCCTATTTAAAGGGCCATACATATTGTATGCGGAACTGGGGAATCTAAAAGCCCAGTTTAAGGTTTTTGCTTTTGGAGTCTGACCGTGGCGGCAGTCACATTTTTAGTATCATACCTTCACCCAATAGTCTGAAGCCGATTCCCCCAGCTCCAGCCCAGGGAGGTACCCTGGCCCTGAGAATGGGGGAGCCCCTTCTCTCTCTCACCCCAGGCTCTAGTCTCCAGGGAGTGGATGCTGCGTCGTTCACTGTCTGCTCTCCAGGTGGCTGTCACATCCTGCCCACCTCCCAGGCTGGAGGCAGAGAAGAGATGGGCTGGCGGGGGCAGCCCCCCAACAGAGCTGAGGTCATGGATCTGCCTGGCGCCCAATGATCCCTTTGGGGGAGCGACTGGGGAGCTACTCAGTTAACTCCCAGACCAATAGCCTGGAGTACCACTATTTGCGTCTGCTAATGGGTCTCTGTCCCTTAGATCCAAAGGAGGCACTGGTTTGTGGAAGCAGCAGCCAGGAGAGAGTCATGGAGCTGCAGGAGAATGGGAGGGGTGGGAGGGGTGGGGAAACAGGCAGAGAGAGCAAGTTCTAAACAGAGAAGGGGCCAAGCAGGGGGGCAGTGATGGGGAGAGAGGAGCAGGCAAGGTGCAGGACAGCCACCTGGGGTCCTCCTTGGCTGGGGCTGAGCTGCCCCTCTATAGAAGCCAGACGTGCGTGGTGGGAGCCCTGGGCGATGGGAATGGCGAGCCCCTGAGGCCCAGGGCGTCACAGTCGCCTCTCCACCTCCACTCTCTGGCCAGGGGCAGACGCCTCTTGGGAGGAAAGCAGGGGAGGGGAAGGCAGGCCAGAGTAGCAGGTCACAGTTCAGACCTAGAGGCCTGGAGGAAGTGTGGAGATCACCAGGTTGCTGGGGCGGGGGGGGCACCGCAAAAGTCCCTGCACCCCGTCCCTGCTCTCTTCTGGAAGGACTAGAGCAAAGCTCCAGCGAACCCAGGGGTGGAATCTAAGGCTGGGGGAGGGGCAGAGACTTGTGGGCGGGGTAGCCAGCTGGAATGGGGCGGGGTTCCCACCCATGGAGAGGCAGCTGAAGGAAGGGAACCCCTCCCTGTCCCGGGGCTTAGGGGAGGGGCACAGGGCCCCAGGGGGTCGGCGGAGGACGGGCCACCCAGTGGGGACCAGAGAGTTCCAGCAGGCAGAAGAGAATCATTATTGTGCTTATGGACACAGCAGCTCCCTGGCTCTGAGAGAGCGAGCGGGCAGTTTTTAGGCACTAGATTTCTGTGATGCGGTTTTAAGTAAATGAAGGAGACCGAGTAGCCTGTTCGGTCAGGGTGAGCCCCTTGACTGCACCCACTGGCCAATTCAAACCCAGGCAGCTTCGGGCCAGGGTCAGGCCAGGGTCTCTGAGCCCCCAGGATGGGGAGGGGGGATGTGGGACTGAAAGGGAGTTGGTGACAGTCGGCGGGGGGGGGGGGGGGGGCGGGCGAGACTGGGGCCTAGCCCCGCTCCTCCCTCCCCTTCGATTCTTCTGGAAGAGTGAGGATGATCGCTCTAGATCCCAGGTCCGAGCGCTGTGCCAGACCACCGGCCGTGTCCCAGGAGTATGGCTTCCCGGGCAAAGGCGGTGCACCCCCAGCTCCTACAGAGGGGTCGAGGGAAGGGAGCCATCCAGAGCTGGAAGCTCTGCTCTCGACCCCTCCCTGCCTGCCCTGCCGGTCACACGGTCACTTCTGTCTTGCTGGCTGTGTAGCAGGTGTGGTGGCCTGGGATGTAGTGCAGCTGTTCCACGGTGTTGTGTCTGCGTGAGGCAAAGGCCTGGCGCTTGGCTGCCGTCTGGCTGTGGCCCAGGGTGGCGCAGGAGTTACTGGACGCACTGGGATGGGAGTGCATCTTGGTCATGCGGTAGCGGTTCAGTACGGGCGTGGACACAAAGACATCCGTGTGCGAGATGGCCCGTGACAGGGACTGCTCGGGGAAGGCCGTCCGCTCGGGGGACAGCAGCGGGTCCTGGGAGTGCAGGCGCTCCGTGGAGAGCAGCTGCTCTTCCGACAGGATGCGGTCGTAGGGCATGCCAAACTCATCCGGCAGGCCCCGCTCCAGGGACAGGACCCTGTCCTGAGACATGGCCCGGAGGGGCCGGCGGGGCCGCTCTCGCGGCAGCGGCTTCTGTTGGGACATCTGGATGACATTGAGGGGGAGGGTGCCACGGGCGGCCAGGTCGGGCAGGTGCCGCCTTCTCATGTAATACTCGTCTGCCTCCTTGTCAGCTGTAGGGGAGAGAGAGAGTTTGAGAAAGAAAGAGAGAGAGAGAGGAGTGAGCTGGGGCAACACTGTGACAGTGCAGCTAGGATCCAACTAGGATCCTGCAGCCCACACAGGTAGAGGCTGAGCTTCTCCAGACCCCAGGGGTCTTGTTAAATGCAGAGTCTGATTCTGACCTAGCTCTGGGGTGGGTCTGAGAGTCCACATCTCTAAGGAGCTCCCAGGCAATTCTGATGCCCCTCGTCCCTGGACCACCTTGAGTATCCGGGGTTAATGGACTCCCTCGAGGTCTCCAGGGAGTTCATGGCCGAATAGATGGCAAGCCCATGACCCTGAACTCCTGCTCCAGTACTGCTCCTGCCACGCCATGGTCCCGAAACAGAACAGCTCCCTGGGTCTTGCTGAAACACCCAAGGAGCAGCCGGCAGCTTTCTGATGAGGCTCAGAAGCTCTCTCCAAGGAAGTTGGGCTGCAGAACAAGACTCCTGCTAGAATAAAGCAGAGTGCTCCACCCAGGAGGCGCTTGTGAAAATGCTTACTGGTAACTTAGAAACATAGTAACACCTTCTCTGGAGTAACAGCCTATGCCTAGGAAGCCAACACATGGGCATCCAGCCTCCACACAAGCACAGAATCAAATCTACGTGTGCTTCGCCTGTGCCCACGGCACGAGCAGGCACCTCGTTCAGATGCTCCGCCCATCTCTCTGTCCACGAGGCCCCCCAGGCTCACCCTTGAACTCACCCAGGACATGCACAAGCCTTCTTTGCCCCACATTTCAGGAATGAGGCTTCCTACAGACAGCCTTCCAGATCTCTGCAGAATGTGGGATTCCCATTTTTAGCCATAGAAACTCACTGTTCCACCTTGGCGTTGGCTGATAGGGGCTCATGGGCTGAACTTCTATCACAATAGGTTACCCTGTACTGTCAAGCACAGGCTCGGCCCTGTAGCTGGGTGGTCATCGAAATAGACTCATTGGGAAATGGAGGCAGAAGGTCCAGGGGTTGGAAAACTGGAAGAGAAGACCTCTCCTGCCATGTACCTTCTTGACATTGTAACATCTGAAACCCATCAATCCCTAGAGCTCCCCAGACTCAAATGGCAGAGCTGGGACCATGGGATGTACTGGGCTCAACTCATGAAATGGGGTCTGTGCGTGGAGTGGGGAGTCTCAGGTTCCCAAGACAGTGTTAACGGGGTTAGGGAGGGAGCTGGTTTATGGGCCCTTCCACAGCCGGTATCTGGGAAGAGTCTCAGAGAAAGCTCTGTCATTGAGAGCCTTTACTCCAAGACAGATAGAGAGCAAGGAAGGCCCAGGGTTTGAAGAAGGCAGGTGTGGGGTGAGGCTGGGGAAAGGCTTTCTCTTATAGTTAACCTGGTACATGAGTCGAAGCACTGAGGATCCCATGGCCTCCATTCTACTGAGGGAGAAGATGGACTCACGCTCTAAAGAACAAAAACAAGGGACTTGTCTGTTCTCTTCTACTGTGCTACACCTTGCTCTTTGCTCTTGGGACACCCCGCTCCCATGCCCTCAGGTGCACAGCAGGAGAGTGAGACACAGGAAGATGTTGTGGAGGCCCCAGAGGCAGACCCCAGCCCCAGGAAAACCCCACTTACTTAGCCTCTTCAGGGATGAGTACTTGCTGGGATGGGTCTTCACTGCGGACTCGTAGGATGGGGGCAGGTGGGCCAAGTTCTGGAAGGAGCGGGAGAAGGAGAGGTCATAGGGCTCGGTGGCCGATGTCAGGATGTTGTTCATCCGAGGCTTCTCTGCAAAAGAAGGGAGGGGTCATGGCGTTAGTGGGGACAAAGGCTGGGGGGCAGACAGGAAGGGAAGCATTCAGGTTCCATCTCTCATCCCTGTCCTGCTTTCCTGGCCCCATGTGCTAGGACACAGGTGATGCTGGTGACTCAGCCTCCCTCAGTGCTCAGCTTCAGTTGCCAACAGGCCGGGGGGCAGGTGCTTTGGCTGCACTGGCCATGATGGCAGGTTACCCTTCCTTGTATGGCAAACTCTTTCTGCCGGTATATCACTGGGCTGTCTGATGAAAACGTAAGCCTCATGGAGCTGGGTGAGGGGTGTCATAAAATCATCTATTTTGGTGTGAAGGTTCTATCCTTTCCCCAATAGCATTAGGCATACTAGCTCTCGGGCTCAGAAAATATCTGAGTTTGAAGGAGGTAGAGTGACCCATCTTGTCTGCATACCCATAGAACTGGGTCCAGGACCCAGCTCCACCGAGACTACAACCCACACTGTCCGCGAGGTAATTTCACCTCTCATGCCACCCCTTCCACCTTTGGCTTCTCCAAGCCCTACAACTGACAAGCCGCTGTGAGCTACAAAGCCATTTCCTCTTGTTCCTGCTCCTTCCTCTGAAGCCCCCTTAGCCATCTCTGAGCTGCTGGAGGAAAGAACGTGGGCAAAATGCCTAGTACATCATTCTGTTTTTCTCCCTCCATCCCTTGAGATTACAAAGTCTAAGAGAGAGAAGGGAGAGTTGTTCAGTGCCAGACCTGGAGAAAAGAAGTGGGGAAGACATGGAAGGGAAGAACAAAGAGAAGTGAGGTGAATGACTAATGAGGTGAATGAGTTGGGCTGGGCTCTGGGGGCCAGATTAGGAATAACACAGGAGTCGGGGGAAGAGGAGATGCAGGTACGGGTGCTGAGTGGCCATGAAGATGGGGTACAAAAAGGAATAGAGATCCAAGGCAGGAAGACAAGCATGCCTTGGTGCTTGACTGACTTGAAGCACGGCAAGAAGTTAACAGGTATTGCTGGGGAAACGGTGGTACCATTCCCAGAAATGAGGCAGCTGGCTGGCTCTTGCATCATCCCTCCATCCTCTTGGTTTGGGACATCCAAGAAAGGGCAGGCTCTAACTTTGGACAAATGTATCAGTGGTCTGTGTCTCCCTATGCCTCTTGGCAAAGAGGGTGCTGTGAACCGTGGGACAAAGAGGACTCCTAGGCTTGGTCCAAGGGCAACCTCAGTACAGGGAACTCCTGGCTTCTGTATCCCTTCCTGCCTTCACTGGTACCCTCAACACTGGGGATGGAGCCAGGGGAGCCCAGCCAATGAGCTGGTGTTCGCGCCAGCTCAGTACATATGTGAGGGGGTGGGGGATGCTCTACATCCCTGAATGATCAGAACATGCTGTACTGAAAGAGCCTCCCTGACACAGATCGGGACAGATACCAGGAAGTGGAGTGGGTAGGAAGCCGGGAGCACTGCTACCCAGAGCTGGGTAATAGCCACAGCCCCTTAGCTCTGGTTTCTTCACTTTTGGCCATGCTGGAGAAGAACGAACTTCCCTCTGCCTGTTGGCATCATACTCCCACTGAGCGCATCACTCAGCTCACCCACTTCCAAATGCAACATTTCTGGATATTCTTACCCCTCACTGTTCTCTAAAACCTGCCACTGAGCCAAAGCCAGACCTTCCTTGCTTTTTCCCTCCACCATGATCGCCCCTGTCCCCTTGCTCATGCTCTCTCTCCTATTGCTATGCCCTTCCTTATTCTTCCTCTATGCAAATTCTCCCTTCCCCCAAGACTCTTTGCTATGACAACATCACATCTTTAAAGCCCCTATTGCTCTTCTGGTCAATACCACCCAGTTTAGTGTCTATGTGGTCTCTAATCATTTGACTTGAGTTGGTCTTGCTGATCTCCAAAGATTGCAATCTCCTTGATAGCAGAAGTCTTGCTTTCCAATTTTTCTGATGCCTTCATAGTGCTTGGCCCAAAATAAGGATCCAATTAATACTCATTTGCTAATCAAATAGACACAGGCTGCCTCTTCTCTTGAGAGCTGCTCTGCCAGCTCCTGGGAAAAGTGTAACATCTAAGGGAGGAATGCAGAGAAAACCCTGCTTCCGCTAGGCTGCGAGCTGTTCAAGGACAGGGATCGGGTCTCATCTACACTTATCTCCTCATCTCCAGGTAGAAAAAGAAGACAGGAAGAAGAGGAGGGAAGAATGGTTCCTCCTTTTGTATTCAGGGGCTGCGCTTGTGTTGGCTTCTTCCGGGGAAAACCAGCTCATAGTTACTCTTTCAGAATGATACTGAGCTAACAGAGCATCCTCGTTTGCCTTTTCTGGCTCCTCTCCCTGCTGCTGCTTCATCACCAATGGGCATCCCCCAGGCTTTCTGCTCCTGCCTTCTGCTTTTCTCTTTCAGCCTTCTTGCACAGATTGCCCCTACTCCCAAGGCTTCTGTTACCGCTTCCAAAGCATAACTTACATCTTCAGCTGTCATCTCCCTCCAGACTTCATGTCTGCATTTCTGACTGCCTGTTGAGTGGTTTTTCTTGCAAATCCTACAGTCCTATCCGGCTCTCGATGTCCAGATCCAGGCTCACCATCAACAGCTCCATCCTCAGTACACTGGTTGCTTTCCTGATTCCTTAGATTGTGTTAATAAGACCCTCCATTCTTCTCATTGATCGTGGCTTTGCATTTTACTCATAATTGACTTTCATCAGCCATATTCAGTTAGTAACTAAGTTTTCCCAATTCTTTCTACAATTTCTTTCATATCTGAACCCTTCTTTCTCTCCCCACTGTCCACATCACCACTGATACCAGCTTCTTTTAACTGATCTCTCTGATTTCTTCCAGTTCTAGTTTCTCCTAGGCCCGAAACCTGAAACACCTTATTAAACTGTTGCTTTCATCATATATTTCCACTAGGAGCTGAGCACTGGAGGGGGACATCAAAATAGTCCACTTTTGTTCTCCGAATTATAATGCAGAAATAGAGCAGATAAGAGGGGTAGGTCTCTCTGCCAGGTGAGCTGCAGAATTTATCTTTGTTTTGAGTTTCTCTCTCACTAAAATTTAATGGTGTTTTCATTATTTCATAGCAAAGACAGAAGAATAATGATAGCTCACAATTTACGTGGCTGTCACGTTCTATGAAGTTTTGAGCATGTACCAAAAAATAGTTGTTCACTGCAGTTCCAAATGGTAAGTTGTGATCTGGTGGGAGGACGTTGAAACCTAAGAGGGAAACATGGGTTTGTAACCCTTTGGCGATTTGCTGCCATGCCTGTGCTCTGCAACTTTCAGGTTCTTCCTCTGCTGGGAAGCTAAAGCTCAGGTCATCCAGTTGGGTTTTGAGTTTTATTAAATCTTAATTAGTTTGGGGAGCATCAATAGAATTTTTCACATCTCATGTCATTACTAAATGGTACCACAAGTAGCCTTGGGCAAAGGAGAGTGTTCACTCCTTGCTGTGGACACATGGAATTTATGGCTGCAAGAAGTGATCAAGATTGCAAGTGAAATGCGTTAAGAAAGGGGCTTACTCTTTCCCTTTCATGGCAGAAGATTACTCTGATATCGGAGACAGACACTAGGGGGACAATTGTCTAAAAGTGAGAGAGAGGCATTGTGGCCCTGGAGGAGGGCGGGTACCTGGCTCCTTGCACCTTAGCTTCAATGAGCCAGTGACCATGTTTGATGCCATAATAGGCATCAGTAGTTAGGATGGAGCCACCTGGAATGAGGATGGAACGCAGAACACTCTCAATCATCTCTCACCATGTGTAGGGGTCTGGGTAGCGCTGCTTAAAATCGGATGGTTATACTGATGATCACCTGAAAATCACAGAAAAAAAATTTTTTAAAGAAGAGTTCAGGAATTCCGTGGTCTCTCCAACACAGAACCACCTCTCTTGACTTCTACTATGCTTCTCTGAGTCAAAGCAAGCACTTCTTAAAAGCTCAGACCTTTGGCTACCCTAGAAATGGGGCAGGGTCCTTCCTCTGCTGTTTTTGTCTCTCTCCTTCTGCATTAGGGCTTCCTCTGTCACCATGATGACCCGCCCACATCTGTGGATCTGGCTGACCAGCAATAGAGGCTTTGTTGGGGTGGAGGAGGAGAAGGATGGGGACTAGGGGACATTTGGCAAATACACATATGTGAGATAGAGAACTGGGCAGGGGAAATAGATCCTTTTTTGGGGTGGAGGGCGTTCAGGTATGGTTAGCCAGGAAGAGGATGCCATAACTTAAAGTGCTTACACTTTATGGGACTTTGATTTGTCCCAGGTCTTTATGCACAGGTATCTGGGTGCATCCTGAGATGTGGCAAGCTGACGTGAACTTCCCACTGCCTGGGATCCAGAGTCCTGGGTTCTAGGCTCTGCCCTGCCTATAAGTAACACAGCCTGATTTCAAAAGCATTGGTTTTAATTAATAATGCAAAAGTCCACATTGATTGAACAAGCCACAAAATTAATAGAGCCATAGTTGCTAAAGCCAGGAGTTCAAGGTATTCTGAGGGCTTCTAAAACTGAATGGTTTGGCTTACCAGTAAAGCACAATTCAACATTACATTATGGCTTCAATTTGACATTGTATTTTTGGGTTTTGTTGGTGCATGCATCTAATTTCAACTAAAGCAAGGGAAAGAGGAGGCATGAGGTCTTAGCTTTAGTTTTAAACCGTGGGTCACAGCTCTACCATCCTCTTAGGTCTAGGTCTGCTTCCATTTCCTGGATGAAACCATCTTTCCTACCTTGGCATTATACCTTCTGGCTACTCATTCTTAAGCTCCTTCACTAGATCCCTTTTTCTGTTTTATTCTCTAAATACTAGTGCTCCATAAGGCTCAGGTGTCTTCATGAAGACTTAGGCTCCACCTTCTTGCCCAAATTGATAGGTCTCAAGTCTACACCTCTAGCTTGAGGTCCATCTGGTCTGCAGGGTTAGATTTTAAACTGCTTATGGCCATCCCTGTGAAATTCCTGCTCTTAGCCCAAACCATCATGTCCCAAAGTGAACTCATCATTTTATTCTCCCAATGCTCAAGCGCTGTCCATGGTACTGACGTTCCATGGGCTTGGAAAGCGAAACTTCAGTCCTCATTCACCATTTCCCTCCCTTCATCCTCCGTATCCATCCAGTGAATCCCCAAATCCCCTTCCTATGACCATATCCTAAATCCAGGCCCACAATGTATTTTTTTTGTTCACATTTCTCTTAGTTCTAGTCTCTGGCCATTTCCAAGACAAATCATCCTGTGTGCTCCTACCAGACAAAATTTCCCATACCAATGGAATCATTTATATCATTCCTTTGGTTCAGACCAGGGTCTTTAAATAGTCATGGACTCTATCCAGTGGGGTATAGGTTTGGGCGGTAAGCCAGCATTTCTCACATGAAGATATTCTCCCTTCCCAAAACAGAATATTAAGTTATATCCAGGGAAAAGCTATTTGCCAAATGCTGAATCAGTTCTACCCTGGATCTGGATTTAAGCAAGAAGAGAGAATCCAGGAAGGGAGATAAAGGATAGATTTGTTCGGCTTGTCCTCCAGAGGCAAAGAGAAAACCAGTGTCATTTTTCTGTGTTGTTATTGTTATTTTTTGTTTGTTTTTAAACAATATGGCAGCATCAAATAAACAGTTGCAAGAAATGAGAGAACCCAAGTTAAATGGTGGCAGTTAGAAATACTTCTAATCTTTCTTTTCAGAATCTAGGTGTCACCAGGAAAGGGAGATGATTCAGGTTCATTTAATAATCCCTGGTAACCAGCTATGGCCCAGGCTCTGTACTAAACACTTATTTATTTATTTATTTATTTAATCTTATTTTTTGACTGCGTTGAGTCTTCATTGCTGCGTGTGGGCTTTCTCTAGTTGCGGCAAGTGGGAGCTACTCTTTGTTGCAGTGTGTGGGCTTCTCATTGTGGTGGCTTCTCTTGTTGCAGATCACGGGCTCTAGGCACATGGGCTTCAGTCGTTGTGGCACATGGGCTCAGTAGTTGTGGCTCATGGGCTCTAGAGCACAGGCTCAGTAGTTGTGGTGCACAGGCTTAGTTGCTCCACGGCATGTGGGATCTTCCTGGACCAGGGCTCGAACCCGTGTCCTCTGCATTGGCAGGCAGATTCTTAACCACTGCGCCACCAGGGAAGTCCCTCACATACATTTTTTAAACTAGTCTTTGCAATGATTTTCATTTGAATTTATATTATTGACCTACCGATTTCCAGACACTGCAAAAAACTCCTTAAATATCTTATTTGAAGTAATTCTTATAATTTTGTTTACAGCTGAGTTTACAAACAGGATAAATGTCTTGAACTTAGATATTTTGTTTACAAGTGCAGGGCTTTTCCTTTTGTTTGAAACTTCAAATATTTTGCTAACATTTTATTTTTTTCATATACTGGCATTAAGGAAAAAAATTTAAAGTATAGAGGTGAAAAATTAAGCCATCTTAAAATAACCATTGTGGCATTTTGTTATATTTTCTTTTGTTTCCCTCCCCCTATACATTACTATGTGTATGTTTACATACACACACACACTCACACTTAATATTGCAATGAATAACCATTTGCATTTTTCACTTTGCACAAGTGAGAATCAGATTACAATGCTTAAAATGGAGAAAAATATGGTGATTTGATCCTCCCATATGTACGAAATAACAAATGCATAAGGTTATTCATTGTAGCATTTTTATAGTAGCAAAAGAAACAACCTAAATGTTCATACCTATATGTACATACACACACACAGATAAAGGTGTAGTTTCCACATATGTAAATAAGCATATACTGCTTTTAATCTGTTTCCTGTATACTTAATGGACAACATGTCTTGAATATACTTTTATGTTTTGAAATAGTCTTTTATATGATTTCACAATAGTCTTTTCTATAGAATAGTCCATTGTATATATATATATATATTTGTGTGTGTATATATGTATATATATATATATACATTCCCCTATTAACCTATTAATGTGTAGTAATGTGTATTTGGATTGTTTAAAAGTTCAAGAAATGTACACCAAACAACCTTGAACACAGCTCTTTGTCCATGTCTTATTTCTTTAAGCAAATAACTGAAAGCAGGATTTCTTGGTGAGCACACTGCCAATTGCCTGATGTGATGAGGTGGGTTCATGGATTTCCTCATATTGAACTATTCATCTATTCGTAGGAAATACCTTACTTGATTTTTATGTCTTATTCTTTCCTTACAACCGTGGATCCCATTTGCATATATCTCATTTAATTCCTATGTATTCATAAAGAAAATTTGCATTTTTTGGTGCTAACATGGCAGGTTTTTGTATCAAGATAATGATTTTGTAAAATCAAGTGCATAGTGTTCATCCCTCTGTATGCCTTGAAACTATTAATAGAGCATATGAGAGATCTGTTCTTTGAAAGTTTGAAGGAAGGCAATAATAAAAATGCCTGGTATCTTTTGGGGAGTCCTTCGGTTTGCAGGGTGGTAGGGGGTTGGCTTGTTATTTCACTGACTGTACAACAACTTCGAGAGACAGATGCTGTTAGCATCACCAATTTAGCATTAAGGAAACTGAGATTTGGAGAGGTTGAATAATTTGCCCAACAGGTGAAGCTGGGATACAAATCCAGGCAGGCTGGCACTAGAGCCCACATCCTTATGTATCCTGCCTGTCATACTTGGCAACATTTTCCTTGCATATTGATTCACCCACATTTTCTAGTTCTACCTTCAGTTTGTAATTTCTATTTTTCTTAAATCCGTTAAACATTTGAAACTTTATTAGCTTAAAACTGTAACATGCCCTCAAAAAGCCTCTATATAGGAAATTATATTCCTTTTCTCAGTCTTGTGTTAGTATTTTCTGGATTAGCAATTTATTCCCGTTAGTCTTCTTTTTCAAACAACTGCCTCTTTACACATCAGGGTTATTTTCCTCTTCAAATCATGATTTTATGCTTTCAGATTTGTTAATTCCTGCCTCCTAATTTTCTTTGGTTCGGTTTGTTTTTCTTTTCTAATTTATTTTTACTCTTTTCTGTCCACAATATCGGGTCTTTAGCTCTGAATTTGTCTCTGGCACAATCCCATGAGCATCAATATGCAATGTTCTTATTGCTGTTAAGTCCTAAATGACCTGTAATTACAGCCTTAATTTTCTCTCTGACCCAAGACTTCTGTAGAAGAGTGTTGTTAACTTTCAAAGCGTTTGGGTTTGTCGGTTTGAACTTTTGCCATTTTATTGTATTGCGGTCAGAAAACAGGGCCTGTACAATTTCTGCTTTGAGGAATTTATTGAGGTTTTCTTTTGGGGCCAATATATGATCAACTTTTTGTGAATGTTTCATGAGTTATTAGAGAAAAGGTATTATTTTCTTCTCATAGAGTATAAGTTGACATATATCTATTAAATCAGATACATGAAATATATTATTCAGTTCCTCTCTATCCTAACTCATTCTTTGCCTACTTAATCTGTCAAAGACTGAGGGAGGTGTCTCCAGTTCTTCCACCACTGTTGGGTTCCTGTCATTTTCTCTGTATTCGTTATAGAATTGGTTTTACGTATTTCATAGTTACATTGTTCAGCACAGAAAAAGCTCATGGTGCTTATGTATTCTTTGTGGCTTGTACCCTTTTTCAACATTAAATAACACTTTCTGTCCTATTTCAGGCCTTTTTTTTTGCTTTAAGTCAGCTTGATCTGATATTTATATTGCCAACCCAGCTCTCTTTTTGTTTGCCTTCTCCTGATAAACTTTGCCTATCCTTTTGTATGTAACCTTTCTGTGTCATGTTGTTTTATGCTTATCTCTTGACAAGAGTG